ACTTTCCATTCCTGAAGAAATATAAAATGAAGGTGGACCAGAAGACTGGCCTTGTTGAAATGATTATGGATAAACTCGAGGACAAGGATGAAGGGACTTACACTTTCCAACTGCAGGATGGAAAAGCAACCAATCAATCCAGCCTTGTCCTCATTGGCGATGGTAAGCTAATCTATATTGCACAGTAGGCTGGAAAAATTATCCTGGCATTACCTCAGTTGTCATTTTCACTTTCCACTGTTTTCAATACCAATAGATGTTCCAGTGGTTTTTCATGTCACAATGCTTGCCTGCCTCATATAGGACAAGGTGTATGTGTGAACTGGTATTTTTGTGTTGCAAGGAAGGTGAATTGTTATAGAAATTGAAAATGTTGAAGCCTGTCAAGGTTTGCTTTTCTATGAACAGAATTAAAATTTCCCATGTAAAAAGTCCATCCGGTCAAGAACACAGATCTGCACCTCTTAGAGCTCAAGCGGCTTGCTGACTCTGATGCTGCTGCTTGTTTGCCTTCCTACCAAGAGTGGAGAGTAGCTGCACCATTGGGGATTATGCTTCATCAGACTTGGCACATTAAACTCCTGATGACTGCATGGAGCTAGGAAAGTTGGGTTAGCTGCAATTATCTTCTGACACTTTGAAATGTTCAGTGAAAACCTGACCCTATGGCAGGACTCTCACTGACCCCCAAGGGATGGAATTGCACCTAACTGTTACAGTGACATTCAATACCGTATAAACAGCACGTGATGTTTAACCTGAATATTTCTTGCTGGTTTTCATTCCCAGTATTCAAAAAGCTGCAGGATGAAGCAGATTTCCAGAGAAAAGAATGGCACAGAAAACAAGGTGATAATATGGATATTTATAAGAATCACATATGTTTTAGTTTGTTAAGTATAAGAGTTTATCTATATTTATATATGGTAATTTGCAATGGATGTTTGTGTTGTGTTGAAGGTTGCTTACCTTCTGAAGGAGAAACAGCAAAAATAAAGCCACAATAAAATATAACAGTATTCTTGTCAAGAAAAACACATTTGTCTTTGGTTTTGTATCATCAATACCACTGATGTGACTTTCAAAAATAAATCTGTCGTTTTAAACAGGTCCTCATTTTGTGGATCAACTGGGATGGGAAGTTACTGATGAGTGTAATGTGATGTTGAAATGTAAGGTAAGCAGCAAGGAAAATACTGAGTACAGTGTTCAAAGCACTTTGACCTACCACTGTTTAGGCGGTGGGTGGAAACAGACTAAGGACATGTCCTTTACTTGTGTCCTCCCAATTGTGTACCGGATAGCAACAGAGCCGATCATGCTGGGGCAACTGCTCATTGCATGTAACAAAATACCTCGGAAAACATCACGAAGTTTTTTCTTTGGGTCTGTCAGCAACCCACCCAGGAAAACGCACCTAAATAAGAATGATGGGTCCTTGTGAACCCTGGGATTTTCTCATTTTTGGCCGGTTTATGTATGTAGAAATCCCCTGGGCAGGACCTGCTGGTTCCCTGGGCTCCCTGAAGCTGTTGGTAGTCCTTTCCTCTCTCTTTTCATCCCTGCTGTCTTCCCTCTTGCATACCTCATTTTAAAACAGAGGCCTGCAACAACTCACTGTGATCAAGCTGAAAAGCTTGCTGTTCTTTTAGGAGAGACTTGGACAGGCTTACCCATGCGACACTAAGTTCCCCTGCTCAAATGAAGAGAATAATTGTGATGTGGTTTTCCTCCATCTTAGGTGGCTAATATTAAGAAGGAAACACACATTGTATGGTACAAAGATGACAGGGAGATAATGGTAGATGAAGAACATGACTTTAAAGATGGCGTGTGTACTCTGCTGATATCAGAGGTGAGTGACTGTCCTTGTCAGCCCTCAGCTGAAGTTAGAGTTACGAATTAAGATGAATGATACGATCTAATCCGATATTTCAACAGAACAATCGAAATAGGAAGTGGGTTTTAAAAATGGAAAACCTCACAAGGCATCTGTGTTTTAGCTAAAGCAAATGTCTGTAACTGCTCGTTCAGTTTCTTGGGAAATGATGACAGAAGAGATAAGAAGCTTGTCACTTCCTTTGCATGTCAGTTTAACAACAGAATGAGACCACATTTACATTTCCCATAGCATTTGGACAGTGCTCATCACTCAGGTTTCAGAGGACCACCATCTCAGAGTCACCAGAGAGGTCTGGTCCATATCCAGCCTTGCTGCAGACTTGGGGTGATATCTGCATTCATCACTTCATCTCTTTGCTCTCTGCTCTTTGGTTAAGGAAAGGAAAAAGTGTCAGGACCTCCCAGCCAAGGCCCATCCCACCACCTCAGCCAGGAGCAGGGCAGCTGGGGGGCACCGGAGCAGCCCCAGCCCTGGGCATCGGGCACCTCCCTGGGGATGGGGCATCAGCTGGGTTCAGGAGTAAAATCTAGATTTTTCTATTCTGATAACTGGTTTTACTGTTACAATATTGCAGTTTTCCAAGAAAGATGCTGGCACTTACGAAGTCATACTGAAGGATGACAGAGGAAAGGACACCAGTGAGCTAAAGCTTAAGGACACAGGTCAGAGCCACTTTCTGCATGCTGTCTGCCACACCAGCTGACAGCCTGACTGCTCGCCTGCAAGCGGGTTTGGGGTAATACAGCCAGCTGCGTGTGTCACCTTCCTGTGGCTTTGCTCCTCCCGTATATAAGATCATCTCATTAGAAAAACTGAGATTTTTCAGTTTGAATAATATCTGAATACCACTTATTGCATCTGGATTCTGTATAATTTTGGAAGGATATCAAGACTAATGTTAAGCAAAATGATAACATGTTTCTTCAGGGTGGCATCAGTAGTGTAAGCCTACAACTATAGAAAGAAATTATAGAACTAGATAATTTTAAAATATTTCACCTTTTGTTATGTTTTGCCATTCATTTATTTAGGGACCTTTCCACTCACTGTGATCACTGTATTTTTAAAATTTCACCTATGTTTCCAAGCAAGTGGAGAAAAACTCAGTTCATTAGATTACATATAGATGTGTTAGCATTCCCGCTATATAGTGTCATTTACAAAACAAAACAAACTAAAATACATGGGTTTGTTCAGCTGCAGCAATATTCATCAGGGCTGTAGTTAAATTCTGGAAATCATGGAATAACAGGGTCAGATTTCTAATATGCTTTGTAAGAGTCTGATTTCTTTTTTGAACCTACTGGGGGAATATTTTGGAGCCAGTACTTGTCCTATTATTGACTGTCCCTGAGCTGCAAACACAGAGTCTTAGTCTCTGGATTTTATTTCTACAGCTTTTGCAGATCTGATGAATGAAGTATGCAGAAGGATTGGTAAGCACTTAATTCTCTTTTCAAATGAATGACTCATTGTGTTGAATGGCTGCACGGCTGCATAAAACCATGTGCTCTCCTTTCAGCTTTATCTGCAACAGACCTGAAAATCCAGAGCACAGCTGAGGGTATCAGACTGTACTCCTATGTTACTTATTATGTGGAAGATCTGAGAGTAGGCTGGGTGCACAAGTAAGTATGGAAAAGCTTTGCAAAAGTTGATGCAGTTTTGGTTTTGTAGACTCAGAAAGAATTTGGATATATGAGAGACATGAGGCCCAGGTTTCTTCTTGTCTCTCATAAGTCTGTCTGATATAAGTTGGTTTCAGTGAATTACTTTCATGTGAAACTAGTATAAGAGTCAAGTCTTAGTGGTGCAGGGCCATCCTGTCATTTCCCTCATGAGACAGATAGTCCCATGCCATGGGATGCCATCAGGGCTGTGTTGCTTCAGCACTTCCCACCTCTCGGCTGGGAGCTGCATCTTTCCTTGATTCAGTTTTAAGGACTGATTAAAATATAACCTGAGAGACTGACAAGCTTTAAAAGAGGCCAGCACCATGGGTTCAGAGATACCAAGCCTGGAGTTCTGCTTGTCTAGGAGCCAAAATTCATGGGAACTGGAACAAGCAGGCACGTTCTTTTAATGCATGGGTTCATCTTTAGGAGGCAAAGCAAGTTTCAGTATGTGCCTGGGGCAGCAAAATCCAGACATCCCTTCCTGTGAGCGCTATGAATCTAACCAAGACAGACAGAAGAAATGAGATTTTTAAAAATAATTTGAATGCCCAGTTCCCCATAAAATTAATGGGAATTACATATCCAAATCCATGAGACAACTTTGAATTCTTAGCCAGCACAAACAGCATGCATTGGAAAACCCAGAGAAGTAAACAACTTAGATTTTATTTAATAGTAATAATATATTTGAAGCTATTCAAATATATTATTACTATTATTGCTGCTTCACTTCCTGTGGACATGGTAGTAGTCTTTAGGATGGAATCTGAATTACAGATCTCTCAATAAAACTCATGTAAATGAGGCACAGAATACCCAGGATGTGCTGTAGCAGTCTGGCTGTAATTATTGACACTGATGCTAACCAGCAATGTTGTCAGATAAATGAAAGCAGTATGTTTAATTGCAAACACCAAAGCATAGTAAAGCATCAGAAAATATTCCAACTAGGCAAACACCATTTGTGATAAAAGTATTAGTTTTTGTAGGTACAACCCTATATAGTTTTGTTTTGCCCAAGCAGAAATAAACATATGCTAAGAAGACAACATGAACATTTGAGGATGCACAGATTACCCTTCTGGGTTTTAAATTTTTATAGCTCTTCTGTGGCTCAGGCCACAGACTAAGATGTATAACCTTGCCACAAGCTTTGAGGGGAGCTAGACCTTGAACAGGGAAAGACTGTCATGTCAGTTCTACCCCGCTGGCCCAGAGCTTTATCAAGAATTTGACTTCAAAGGTTTCAAAATATGGTGGCATATCATAGCACCCTGGAAATTATTTAGTAACTGCAGACATACTCAGTGACTCATCATGAACAAATCCCATGCACACTCCAGCAAAATGAAAGGGTAACATTGTTGTGCATTTTTCAGTGATACCCAGATTAAGTTTACAGATCGAGTGAAGACTGGTGTCACCGGGGAGCAGATTTGGTTGCAGATCAATGAGCCAACTCCACAGGACAAAGGCAAATACACAATGGAACTCTTTGATGGTAAAACAGGGCACAAAAAGACAGTGGATCTTTCTGGACAAGGTAGGCCATTCCCTCTGCTAACACCATCTGTATGTAGGCATTACACTGTGGCAGTGCAGGAACACCTCTAGCAGGACCTTGCTACTAATCTGTTACCGTTTGAGCTGTAGGGTCTCTGTGTTCACCCAGCAACCTAGCAGTGTTTGCTGGGACAGTGCAATGTGTTTTCCTCAACTTGTGCTCTTGGGTCATAAATTACAAGTGGCTTTTTCCTATTCCAAATACTTGCTTCCAGTTTGCCTACTGAGATGTCAGCCCAGTTTCTGAGTTATCTTACAGAACGCCTTGTGTTGCTGGCATTGATTGGCAGTTTTAAATACAAGTTGTAGCACTGAATGCCTTCTGTATCTCTCCCTTCCAAGTAATATTTGGAGGAGGAAGTGAGGGACAAGTTTGTTTTGTTACTTTCCTACTGCATTTGTTTGACAGATATAATAGGGCTTCTTATTCTCCAGAGATGTCAAGACTGGTCTCTTTCATCAGCACCATGAAGGAATGTTAGGGGAACAGCTAAAATTATTTGGGTTGACTGCTGGAAGCTTTTACTCTCAGAGACCTCTCAAATCTTAGGGAAAGATTAACACCTTCCAAACTGCTGAGTTTCCATCCCCAGCCATTCCCATCCCTAAAGCTTCACTTTGAAACTGCAAGCTCTGTAAAGGCAATAACCTTATAATCATCTCCATGTTGCTCCTTCTGTAATCTATCTCCACCATCTAAGGAAAGAGATTTCTTTTTCTCTGTCAAAGTAGGAGAAGTTGACCTCTCACATGAGGGTAGCTTAGCTTGAAGTTGCAAAGGAGACAACAGTTTGCTGTTTGGTTTGTTCATGGCCATCAGTGTGATGCTTCAAAGCAGATGTGAAAAGCATAATGAAAAACCAGATCTCTTGTATTCCATAAGCCAGTGATGTCCGAAGGGGGGTGTGTACAAGATGATCTGCTAGGGTGTGGGAAGAAATTATGAGATCTTCAGTAGTACATCTACATAATTTATAAATAAATATACATACACTGGAGCTGTGTGCTCAAAAAACTCTTAGATAGAGGTGTATAATCGAAAAAGTTTGAGACCACTGCTGAAAGCTATAATTTAGGTATTGTATTTGGGTTTCTTCCTCTGTTTTGTGATATAATTTCAGCTTATTATTATTCTGTAGCCTCATTGTCTTAAAGCCTGACTTTCAGAATTAAAAAAAGCATGTTTATGCATTCATATGTATATATAACAGCTGCCATATACAAGATGACCCTTATTAGTTGAACCATTCAGCATGTTAGGGCTTATACAATATACATGCATCCATCCATTAATACTTGTGATGTCTACATTTTAAATCTATTTGTACATCTTAAATTTAAACTTGATTTATCTCTGAACCTACTTTTAAAATCAATTTTTCTCTTTACAAAGCATTTGATGAAGCCTTTGCTGAGTTCCAGAGATTAAAGTAAGTATTATGCCATCTACATACAGTAATGACATCCATAAAATAATAAGAGTGTTTGTTTGTTTTGTACTGGAACTAAATATATCCTGTGAAACAAACCCTAGTCCTACAGAAGACCGTAGGAGTTTAGCATGTGACTCCTTTGGTGCAATTCTTATATAATAGTTAGGTAACGAAGAAAAAGCAGTATTGCAAAAGATGAGAGAGATTTTCCTTAACAGATTAAAGCAGTTAAAAATATAAACTATTTTTCAATCACTCTAAGTAAATCTTAACTGAAATTGGACTTTCTTTTTGTTTCTTTCAACTCCAGGCAAGCTGCGATTGCAGAGAAAAGTAAGTGGGCCTTTTTGGACAATGGTTGCAATAAACTGTTAATGAAGGTTTTTTTCCTCTCCAGGAAGGTAATGTGTTGGGAGGGAGAGGGCATGTATACATGTGTATGTGCATGTGCTCATCCTGGGATGAATCTGTCCTTACACCAAGGGGAAGCAAGGAGAGTGACCTTTTAGTGATTTAACATTGGTGCACATTGCAGGTAATACCACCATAGTTACGGGTTACGTTTGTTTTTCCAGTCTAAGCTCCTGTTCTCAATACCAGTTAGCCTTCTCCAAAGATTATCTTTATTGCTGAGATCTATCATGCATGTCCTCTGCACAAAAGTCACTTTGTTTTCAAAGATGGAGGAAATCATTTGGCTTGTTTTGAATAATCTAAAATGTCAAATGGCTCTGAATTACAAACAGAGATGGGTAAGAGAACAACACTAACCTTCGCATTGCTTAAAGACTCATCCCTGAATCTCCTGATACTTCTGCATGTGTGCAGAGACCTGAGTTATCTCCTCCTGGACATACACTCCAAATAGAGCAGAGTTTGGAAACGTACAGCGATCCCTGCAAGTCCCAGCTGAGATGGCACAAAGGGATCAGTAATAGCCCTGCCCTGGGCATTTCATTTCTAACCCAGGACCATTCATAAGGGGCTGGGACATTAACTGACATAACACAGTTCTATTCCTGGTCTCATAAGGTTGTTATCTCTATGCTCCAGAGCACGTATTTTATGGAATACGTTAGAGAAGAACATTTTGTGTAATCATTTCCTTCCTCCACCAGGCTCCACCAAGACTTACAATGAACAAAAATCCATACTTGCACCAAAGCCTGTATGTGATCAGCTTATTTGTTTTTATGTGAGATTCTTATGGGACTTTGAGATTAAAATGAGACCAAATATCGAACTCATTTATGCCCAGATCTGTACAAAGTGGTGACATTTCAGTGCAGTCACTGAGACTGTCTTTGTATTCAGATCAAAACCTAACCTCCACTACGTCATTATTTGTCATTCATCTCCTTTTGGAAACACAATGTTTTTAGTTTATGATACTAAAAATTTAGAGTGCCAGATCTGAAAAATTCAGAGTTTTTGTTCACTCAGAACTAACACTGAATTGATGGCAAAATCTGCAGGACACAGCACATGTACTTTATTTCTTCTCTGTAAGTGACTGACACCAGCTATTAACACATCTTTTGCAGTGAATTCAACGTTTTTTTAAAGTCCAAATGGTGTGCTAAGAATGCCGAATAGTTCTCTGCTAGCACAAATATCAGAGACAAGCTAAATAGGGGGTTGAAACATTTGGAGAGTCAGGCATCAAAAACCACAGAAATAAGTTAAAAGGAAAGAACTAGAGGGGAAACAGAATCTGGGACATGGTTAATTTTGAGACACTAAAGAAAATTACGTTTATTTATTTCCAGATCGCGCTCGGGTACTTGGAGGTTTGCCCGATGTTGTCACCATCCAGGAGGGCAAGGTACAGTAAATTAACTGATGCTTTATGCAACAACCCAACAGCTTGAATGCCTTTCAATGATGGGAAAATATTCACCTTTTTTTTTTTAAGATGCCATCTTTAAAATCTGCTACATTATTTATTCATCCCCTGCCTTCTGTACATAACTCAACGGTCTTGCACAGATGGGTTTATGTATTCAGGGCAGTGTCTTTTCTTAAGCATTAGATAAAAGTGAGATGACAATGTGAGTTGAGACTAAACCTCCTTATATAAACAGCTCTTTAAAAATTCATGCACAGGTTTCACAGATTTATTTTTTTTGTAACAGGGTATCAGGGAACTTTAATTTCTTTTTTTATTTTTTTTACAAAATGCTAGTATTTCTATGTCTTTTGCAGCTAACTTCCTCAAAACATGGCAAGATAGACACACCAGTCAAGGCTGGCTTTTAAATGGTGTAAAACTAGTAAACCATTCTCCAGTAAACTCAGGTCTCTTCCATACAAAAGAAGATTGTTTTATCTATTTCATCAGGGTAAATGGGAAGGAAGTCAAGAGAAGTCACTGGATTATATTAGCAGGGTTTAACCAAAAAAATTATTGTAAGGCGCTCCCAGAGGAACACAGCTACACCGATGCTTGAGCAGAGAACAGATGACCCAGAAAGTCAGTTCTGAATCTCGCAACCTTTTCCCAGCACACTGCTTCTACAAGTTGCTCCTTAATAGTATCAAGACCAAGAAGTGCCTGCTCTTCACTTCCTGCTGGTCTGCCACTGCCAGTTCCTCTTTACAATGTGTGCAAACACTGAAATAGGGCATGTGAATGTCACTGAAAACCTGTACTATGACAACTACAGTAAAGCAACTTCCTCATATTTTCTGGCTTTATCTGGCAGTAGGTCAGCCGAGTTAAAAGCATTTGATTATAAGCTGAGCAAGATTGTTAAGAATCTAAAATCTTGATCTGAATCACTTAACAATGCAAGATATAACATAGCCAACAGATAGTAGACTGCAGCAGTTCTGGGAAAACTAAGTATGTCGGCATTACAAAAATGAAGTAACATTTGATTAAAACTTTCATTAAAGGATTTAGCAGTTTGGGAAATGCTGTAGAAGTAAGAAGCACTCCTGTGAGCATTTTAACTGTAGGAAGAAGACACAAAGAAACAGAACGAATTTGCAGACTCTCAACTAATAGTGCTTGTGCTTGGAGATTAGATTCTCCTGCTGCTTTGGCAGGGGATACATTTGGGTGGTTATTATCAGTTTTAAGCTCTCTGCCAAAAGAGAGTTGATAAGAAGGCGAGTATGAGATCACTAAAGCAAAATGTGTAGTGTTTACAAAAAGGGAGTTTGTAAAAAATTAGTTGCAAAATCTTACCCAGACAGACATTGTCCTTGACAGCAAAGACATTTGTAATGTTTGAGTAAGTGACTGAAAAACTTCCAGGACTCAAGACAAATATCCTTGACCTGATGTTTCTGGATTCAGTAGATGATTGTTTTGAGAAATGGAGCAGGACACAAAGTGATCGGAGAAAACAGCGCTTGTTTGAGTGGTGTTGGCTCATCTGCCTATTATTTGCATATAAGCTGGAGAGAGGAGAACACAGTTCTCTGTTGTGTAATGAGAATTGCACAATCATCAAGGATTTTGCAAAACAGTAAATGAGGTAGCAGAGGACTGGCAATCGCAAGCTTTGATCTTGAATACTGGTGCAGCCATAACTACAGAGTTATATGAACAGATTGGTATCCCTAGATTGATCTTCCAAGCATATGCATATCTCAAACTTAAACTTAACACTGTGACTGTGAAGTTATTTATTAGCTTTTTACATGTAAGCTGAAGGATATGTGTGAGAACCAGTGTTTACCTAGTGTTAATTAAACAGCGCTCCAGATGGCCTAAGAGGCTTCTACTGATAGACATAAATGTTCTTCAGCAGTGTGATATAATTGGAAAAGGCTAAGTGTCAGTTCATATTAGGGAGTAATCTGACCTGACAGGGAATACTAGCATAAGTTTTGTGTATAGCTGGCCAAATTAACTGAAGTGGCTGTTTTAATGAAGGCCTGTGAGTAAGCATTTTTTGTTTTTAAAAGGAGAAGTTTGGGACTCTGACAGACACTTTCAGACCTAGAAGCAATACGTTACATCCTTTTACCCACCAACTCTCCCTTCTACCATTCTGCCAGGGATAGGTGCCCTCATAGGTAGGCAGGAAGAAGGGAGCAGATTCCCATGATTGAGCTGCTTCAGTTCAGTCACTGTCATCTTAACCCAAACCACCTACGAGTGCAAAAGGAATAACAATACTTGAAATACAATGACTTTTTTTCCCCTCTGCCATGTGTACAACCCAACTTATTATAATCTGCAGTGAAAGGCAGAAAAAGTAGTGGGGCACACAAAGGGTCTGGACTTGCTGCTGTTGGTTGCTCTAAGTGCACGTGCCTCAATGCCCCAGGTCCAGACTTGGTATGGGAACTTCAGTGTTCAGCTCAGAAATACTAAAATCTGGTTCAAAGAGGTGGGGTTTACTCATCCAAAGTTTTTCAGATAGATAAATTTCCTGGTAGATTTCATTCACTCACCACAATATCTAGACAGGTTTCCAGTCTTTTATTTCCTCCACTCAGACAATCATCAGAGTAGCTACGACTCAACTACTCAAAAAAGGGGCTTATCCTGAGAGGGAAAGGTGCCTCTTCCCTCAGGAGGACAGGGCACACTTTTTTACCAGGACAAAGTTTTCAGTCTGAATGTAGCATTATAATAGGGGTTTCTGTGAGTAATAAAGATATATATGAGCAAGGACAGTCTCCTGCCCAAAGAACAGAAAATCTGAAACCGGTATGCACAGGAACAGTGGGAAACCACTTCTCCTTGGTAAGGCTTTGTAATTATGGAATTACCTTCCAGAATACCAAAGATTTCACCATCTATATAGTAAACGATAATATGCATCTCTGCACATTACTAGCTGGAAAATAAATAAGAGTTGGGAAGATACAGAGGAGCACTGGTATCAAAAAAAGGAGCTAGCAATGCAAGGTTAAGCAAATTGTAGCTATTTTGAGGAATTATTTAGAAGAAAAAAAAAAGAGTTGTCACTGCTGCTCGAATCTCATTGAATTAAGAAGTACTGACAGCACTTCAAACACCTGAGGTTTGAATAATGCCACTAATAGAGCTGTCTGGACATGGATGTCAGCTCACTGGCATCTTGGAGTGGCAGCTGGGCCCACTCAGTGGTGATGTCTTTGCTTGCTAGAGAATCAGAAGACAATGAAGAAATACCAAGAACATGAAAGGACCTATATGCAATGCCTGGCCAAGGCTGAGGCTGCGGGCATATTTGTATTGAGAGTGATAAAGAAGAGGGGCGAATGTAAAACTGCTTGTTCCTCCCTTGTTTTTCAAACAGATGGGCTGATATGGCAATCAAAACCACATTCACTTTCACAGCAGAAGGCAGTCAAAAGCCCCACACGTTACCAGCTGCAGGAAATCAGATAGAGGCCATTTCCATCAGGCTATAACCTGGTGGAAGGTTGAAGGAAGGAGGCTATAACCACCTCTCACTCAAATCTGCCTTTTCTTTGGTACCAAGAATTATGTGTTGTTGATGGAGGAAAGACTTCTCCCTTCCTTTGTTCTCATTTTGGCCTTTAGGGGATATGGGATTTATTTGATTTTTATTTTCTACTCAGAGGTACAAAAATCTTCCATTTCTATGGAGGAATCAATTTTTTCTATCTGCTCATTTCAACAACTTTCTGGGTGTCTCTCTTCTGTCCCGTCTTCCACTATCACACTACCAGATAAGAAGCAGAGAGGTGAAGGGAAGGTAGCCTGTTAAATAGATTTCTCACAGTAGATTTTTATCATGATAGCCTATAGGGCAAATAATGTGAGCGCTCTTCAACTCTCTCTATTTTTGATGTATTTTTATCACGAGCCTTTATAAATAAGTGGAAGAGAAATTTTATTCCAGTCAAGTGGAAGCTTGTCCATTTCTTATGGATCACTTAGTCAATTCTTAATGAACCAGGAAAGACCATTTTATCCATTCTTCAGTTTCAATTAAAAAAAAAATCTACTTTGAATAACTTCGTAAGTTTGGATTGGTGTGCTATTTAATACTGAGACATAAATGGATTCCTCCCTAAATAAAGGTCCAGAGAAAGGCCCACGTACCACTGAAGTTTCACATGAAGATTTTTCACATTTGACTTTTTGTGTGATACTCACTTTTGTGAACTCTTTTGAGAAGATTCCCATGGCACTGTAACTGGAGGAGGGGATAATTTATATGTATTGGTATCTCTCAAAGATTAATTTCTCAGCTGACTAAAACAAAGAAGGAGGCTTGAGCATTGTATGCACAGTAGACACACCAACCTATAGAAACCATCAGTGATTTCTTCAACAACTGACTTTCTGACAAGGAGGATACTTCCTTCAGTCTGATGTGGCTGAATTCAGCCCTTAGGAAGATTACTAACATCAAAGGGAAATACTTACATGAACACCAAGGAAAGGGTAAAGCCTCTATTGATTTCAGTTAAAAATAATTTTACAGGAGTACATAAAACAATTCAAATCTGTTGGAAGAGCTGTCAGAGCATAGTTTAAAAAGATGCCAAATTGAATGAAATATTCCAGGGACAATTTGTTCCTAGTCATTTAAAAAAGCAGGCACACTTTCTCTACTTCTATGGTAAATATATAGTGAGCTTAACATTACCAAATCCATCTCAAATTCTCTTTTCAGGTCTAACACACAAATGCAGATAATATTCAACTTTATATTAAACAATATGCATGGAGAAAGCTCTGCTAGTGATTATGAGAGTACAGAAGAAGGTCCATAAAATATTGAAACATTTTAATGGACTTTTTGAATTGAGTTCCTTCTTTTTCTTTATGATACAGAAGACTGACAAAAATTACTGATCACTGATGATGATAAGCACCCATTTACTAAAAGCAGGAAGCTAAATAGGGGGTTGGAACATTTAGAAAGTCAGGCATCAGAAAACACAGCACATATGTACAGACTCTTTCTTAAAATCTTTTTGTACCTTTTCTACAGGCACTCAATCTTTCTTGCACTGTTTGGGGAGATCCTGCCCCAGAGGTCTCATGGCTGAAGAATGAAAAATCATTTGTGTCAGATGCTAATTGCATCCTGAAATTTGAATCTGGAAAAAATGTCAGCTTTACCATTTCTGCTGTATCCACACACGACTCCGGGAAATACAGCATCGTGGTGAAGAACAAGTACGGCACAGAGACCAGCGATGTCACTGTAAGTGTATACATACCTGAGGAAGAGAGAGAGCCTGAGCAAGAGAAACAGAAAGAAGATAAGAAAACGAAAGCATGAATTTAAGACAAGGAAACAGAAGCATGGGGGAGATTTTGGATGACAGGCTGACATAATCTGTGTGTGTAAATGGCTTTCTGCTTTAGCAGGCAGCCTTGGATTTTTCCATTCATTTCACTTTTGCTTCTAATACACTTAATTCTGCCAGGGAAAACAGGGCCATTCCTAAATATTTTCCTACTGCTGTCTTTACATAACCTAGTTGTATCATCCTCAGCCAGGCCAAATGCATGCTGGATGTAAAAACAGGTCTGCCATTTGACCCTCTTCCTGGAGCATTTGACCCTACAACAAAAATGGAAAGGCAGAAGAATCATTTCAGTGGAAGCAAATGATGAGGTAGATGGAAAGATTAAAAAATGATTGAGGCATTTTTGAGCAGCAGTTTAGATTTGTTCCAACTTTGGTAAAGTAGCATACATGGAATGTGTTAGAGAATTAAATCATGGAGAAATTAGTGCAGCCTTTTTTGTCTACATTAAGCCCCCTTTGTATTGCTGTGTTAATTTAGAGAGGCCTTAATATGGGTGTCATTTACATCCATAAATATTGTTTAATCTGCCCAACTGGGGTAAAATTACTGTAACATAAATCAAAATTGGGCTCAGGAGGCCAGAGTACTAGTGTGTGTGTGTGTCTGCAAAAACGTGTGAACTCTCCTCTTATTTGTTCACAAATAAATTGAATTCACTTCCTTCCTTCCATCACAAGCTTGTTTCACTGTGTCTTGTTTTACTAGTCACGGTTCTGATAGTTGTGCACAGCATCTTAGTGTCTTCATGTTTTCACCATGCTAATTACCTCTAGCTTCTCTTTAGATCCCAGTTAATCTTCACTTTACTGTTCACGTCAAAACTCAGAGTGGCATCTCTTCACACCTTTCTGTCCAGACCTTCACGGCTTCACATCTCAACTCAGCAAGGTATTTTTGCAAATTCAGGCACAGGAGTAGTCTCAAGTAATTCAGTGGACCTGCTAATAAATTTTTATTTATAATAATTTTTATTTAGGTAAGTATTTTTTAGACTGAAACATGAGTTAATTTTTTTCAGATAAAAAATGTTTCAGACAAAATACATCTGTCCAGATCTTTGAACACACACACACAGATTAAAAATGCCATGTCAGGTATTTTACAATGACACTGATTATTATTCGCTGAGGAAAAGCGACAGAATGTACATAGATGTACATTCTGCTGAACATATGTGATATATATATGTGATACATCTCATATGCATATACATATATATATGATCAGAAGCAGTTATCAACCCAATTGCTAATTAGGAGAGCAATATGCCATATTAATAATTGCTTTCATTATTAGTCTCACAACAGCACAATTCTTTACAATTCTCCATCTAAGAACTAGCGTATATATTTCCAGTATAAGCATGATCTGTGCTCACCTTTCACACACTTTCTCTTGTCGTGTTTAGCTACTATGACTGCAGACACAGTGCTGTTTCCCAGACACTCATTTTGCTGCAGTACTGACATTTCTGTGAGGATGCCACTTGTAAGTGCTGTACGGTTAATGCTCACTTAAACCCTTACCATCTGCGGTTTACTGTCAGCTAATGATAAAGGCAAAGTGGAAGCATGAGGGAATTCTTAATGGTTCAGGTAACAATAGATTCAACAGAGTTATCAATGGTCAAAGTGGTGATTTTTTTCCCATTTTTAATATTTTATCAGTTTCTAAAAAAAGGTTAATGATTATTATCTTAATAATTTTTTAAAAATCCAGATTTAGATCAGGTTTATGACCTATCAAAACAGATTAGCATGTGCTTAACTTCCTGCATGAATAGTACCACTGGTTTAAAGGAAAATGTTCAGTTTACCTGGTATATAGCTTTTTTCTTCCAGAATAGATTTAGCATCACAGAGATTTTTAACATGAAAAGATGTAAAACTAATGTGTTTTCAGCATTTCACATAAACATTGTATGTGTTCACACGGCCTTATCTCCTAAAATAGTTAAAGTTCAAGTATCAAACTTGATGACATTATTACAATTTTAAGGTCTGAGTGTGTAATTATATAAATTAATTATTATTCTACTATATATAATTATATAATAACATATATTAATCAATACCTGCTATTTAAAAAGTTCAGACTATTCAGTCACAACATCTGCCTATCAGACAAAGAAAAAGCTTAATTTTAAAATTTCAAAATATAATAATATCTGTAATTTTAGATACAGCAAGCTTTCTGAGTTTAAAGAACATTTAAAGTTTAAAGAATTTTTATAATTTTGCTTAGTATGACATGAAGACAATTCAGGGATGATAAGCAGGTGACTCTGTCCCAAGATATACACCATAAAAGCAAGTGTCACAACTCTTCCATTTTCCAGTGTGCAGAGTGCAAACAAGAATGTCTCTTGCTCTTTGCTATACCTGATAACTGATGCTTATTACTTTGCATCAGCATATTTTCAATAATGATTACATTTTGGCAGCAGTCTATTTCTACTACTCAACCTTTGAAAATCTGTCCTGTGTCCACCCTCCTTCTGGCAGAACTGCAAGAGAGTACAAGTGGGCCATCTCCCAGATAACAGGCTAGATTTTACTTCTTTTTGCTTCAGAAGATGTATGTGTCACTAAAATTAGAGTAATAGCTGCTTTTAAACATATTGCCGCCAGGGACACAGTTACAGTGGTTTCAAACTGAATTTGTGATGCATCCGCATTTCTCGCTTGTGCATTTTTTGTTCTTGCTTTGCTTCAGGTGATTGTGATCTCTGTGTCAGCACAGACTGACACAGTCCAAGGGCATGATCAAAATAATAAAACTGTATCTAAAAAGAAAAAAATGATGACAGCAAGCAAACGGAAGGAAGGAGGAAAGAAAGGTAAGAGCACTTGCACCTTTATGGTTTTCTACTGCAATGAAAAAATTGTTAAACATTACGCAGTTAATAGTCTGTGCCAATCAATGTTTCTCAGGTCCCAAACAATCAAGCTTACAGTATGTATGCTCTCAATCAACAACAAATGCAAAGCATGAATTGCCAGGTTAAACCTCAGTGAAACAGATTTAAATCAACACTTTCAAATCACCTTCCCACTAGCCTGCTAGTTCTCACCTTAGCTAACCTGGCTGATCAAAGTTTATTAACCCACAATAAATACTTACAAATTTCTGAACGCAGAGGAAAGACCTCCTAAGCATGTATATATACAAATGGTGGGTTTTTTCCCAAAGTGAGACTCATTTCAACAGCCAGGTGTTTGATACTTACAAAAAAGGAAAGCAGCCTTGCTAATTAAGGGACCCTAAATGCCAAAGTGTTTTAGAAAGCCCTGACTGTATAGGCATTATTTCAAATTAATCAATTATGATCTTAGCTTTATGTCCACATTGAATGGTGAAGTTAGAATTATATCTGACCATTTTTTTGTCCAATTTAGAGAAAGGGTGGAAAATGAAAAGCTCTCCGGTGATTCAACATTCTTGTATATTACAGATTTTAGTGCTCTTTTAGACTCTTACTATGTAATTGCTACTTGGACATTGATTTATTCTTCACAATTACAACTCCGTCATGTAGAGCATTTCAGCTCCAAATAAGGCTTAAATTCCAACAGTATCAGAACATCTGTTTTACATATTTTTGCCTAAGTATTTTTTCTTCGTATACAGGGTGTATACATGTTATATCACTGCTGACAGAACATTTTTTACTCTTATTCCCCTCCCATTTCTGCTCCTAAGGCAAGAAAAATATTTAACTGCATTTCTTTCCTTTCTTGCCTTACTGGTATGGGTAACCTAGACATTTCTGAGCAGTTCCAAAAATAAGGTGACTTATGTGAGAAACAGTTATTTACATCTGTAAATGTTTTGCAGGTTCTACTCTTTAATCTTTTTAATCAGAAACCATAAAGACTTGGGCTTGCTTTTGGCTCTGTGAAAAGTAGTAACATTATTTGTGATACTGAATCTCTTTATATGGGTATGGGAAGAGGAAGAGAACATGGTAAGGTCATAACCCATGTGAAAGCAAAATCTGACTCTATATATCTCTGTAAATATAAGGGAAATTTTATTACTTCTTCTAAATCAGATTTTATTAAGCCACATGTAGAAGAAATTATTGCTACAGAAGAGACACCTGATCCAAATGAAATCCCCCCTGTGGAAACAAAGAAGGATACAAAAAGCAACCACGGAGCAGCAAAGAAGACTGATGGAAAGACAGCAGTTGTAGAAATGGTTCCTCAGCCCACAGAAACCTTGGATAGGCAGGGTAAGAAACCACTGGAAAAAAAGCCTTGAGTAAACCCCACTGTTCTTGAATGAAGAATGTGATCTTGTTAAGATCTGGACAACAAATTCAAGTTGAGATTTCACAGGTGGTAGACTAGCCATAATATTTTAACACAAAAGTTTATGAGTGTTTATTTATAATATTCATAATATTCCATAACTTTAAATGCATAGTAGATGGGCACTTACATCTCAGTATTAGATTAGCTGCACCGAACTAATTTCTAAGTATCTTAATAATGATCCACGTACTGACAAGGTGATTTTAATTACTAAAAAATGTCCATGATAAGCAGAGGTTATTCCAGCAAATCCCATCCAGAACTGACATATTTACTATTCTGTAAAAGAATGTTGGTATCAGTTAAGTGGATCTGTTCAGTTATGTGGATCTGTTGATATTTGTAGGCCATCACAGCTTGAGGCAGACCCCACTTACTTTCTCAAGGAAACAATACATACAGTCCTCTTAATGCCATGGTCACTTTTCACTGTGACAAATTTGGCCACAGGGGAAGATCTTCAGAAACACAACCATCTCCTATGGGTGCAGGGGGAGCATAAGTAGGTTTCCTTTTGATCCAAGCTTCTTTCATGCATACCTGTTTCATCAGGTGGATCAGGATGAGTGACATCTGGGCATTTCTTATCATCAAGACTCACATGACACCTTTTCAGTTCTCTCCATTAATTCCCTCCTGGCCTTGGTGAGGTACTATGTATAAAGCATTAACCCATAAAGCAACAACTGCCTTACGTGCTCATTTATCTCCAGTCTTTTTGCTAGAGCAATCCTATTTCTGCTTCCAAGACCTGCTAAACCCACGGTCCTCCTTCCCTTCAGCGACTCAGCCCAACACTTTCCCTTCTTCCCCTCACTAGGAACAGGCCCACTGGTTTCTTATAAGAGACTGTAGCGTCATGGTCCATCTAATTGAGGAATAAACATAAGTCAAGGCTCTCTGCTTTAAATCGTCACTGTGCGCATTCACATTCATTACTGTGTTCATTCACATGTTTATGTACAGAGGATATAGATCTCATTTCTGGATGCTTAGATACCTGGAAAGAAGCAGAGTTCAAGCTGAAAAACAAACCAATAAAAACAAAGGTCAGAATTTATTTTCTTAATTTGCAA